GCTTTCCTGGTCCTCTGATGCTGCTTGGCCTGCTGTGTTCATCCAGCTCTACACCGTTTTATCAAAGAAGTGTGGGTGCTGGAAATCAGAAACAATATCAGAAATTGCTGATTCGTACTGGCAGCATCTGTGGAAAGAAAGCAGAAGTAACATTTCGGGTCCTGTGACCATTCTTCAGAACTGGTTGTAGCTGGGAAAAGGTTTGTGTATATGTTACAGAAAGGGTGAGGAGAGAGGTAAACAGCAAATGATAGGTGAAGGTGGGGCCCACAGAGAGGGCAAAACAGTTGGACAGACAAAGGAATGTCTAAAGGTCAGTCTGACAGGATGAATAGCTGCTGATGGAGATAGTCAGTGGCTGACAATGGGTTGTAATTTGTGGCAGTCCATGTGATGGCAGAGGCTGGTGTGTTGGGGTTGAGGTAAGGACATGGGAGAAAGTGCTGAGGCCCTAAAATTATTGAACTCACTGTTGAGGTTGGATGGTTGCAGAGTTCCGAAGCGGAAAATGAGGTGTTGTTCTTCCAGTTTGTGCTGAGCTTCGCTGGAGCACGGTAACAAGCCTGAGACAGAGACGCTGTTCATTACAGAGACCAGTTAAGAGTCAATTACATTGGTGTGAATCTGAAATCAAATGTAGGCCAGATAAGATAAATAGTGGAGTATTGTGTTCACTTGAAATATTGTGTAGTTTTGGTCTCCTTATCCGAGGAACGATATTTTGGCAAAGGAGGGACTGCAAAGAAGGTTTACCGGACTGATTCCTGGGATGGCAGGACTAATGGATGTGGAGAGACGGATCAGTTAGGACCATATTCATTACAGTTTAGAAGAATGAGTAGGAATCTCATAGAAACCTATAAAACTCTAGCAGGATTAGACAGGATAAATGTAGGAGTTAGGTTTGGGAAGTCCCAAACCATGTGTCATTGTCTAAAGACACGGGATAGGTCATTTAGGAAAGAGATGAGGAGAAATGACATCACCCAGAGAGTGGTGAGCCTGTGGAATTCTCTGCCAAAGGAAATGGTTGTGGCCAGAACATTGATGATATTCAAGAAATATGTAGATATATTTTAAACAGATCAAAGGATATGGGGAGAAAGCGGGAGCAGTGTTGGAATATCAACCATGGTCATAATGAATGGTGCAGCAGACATGAAAGGTTGAATGGCCTACTCCTGCTCCTATATTCAATGTTTCTATATTGAATGTTGCATTTTTGTAAGTGTGAGTGGAGGAAGTAATGCGTTATTGCTTATACCAGTAACATCAAAACAGTCCGTGTACTCAGATGAACTAGCGCAAGAAGTCTGAGGGTTTCAAACCAAAGTGAGTCATGGCGAAAAAATGTTTTACTTTCCACTAATTTAAGATTTAATAAAACTTGCCACACCCCCAGATCCACATTGCAAGATTCCACTGATTGCACTGGATCACGAAGGCTCTTCCAATTGCATTCCATTTCCTCGACGCATAAACAATTGCAGACACATCTGAAATTTTTTTTTGGAGAAAGTGTATTTAACTTCTACAAAAGCAACTAATGCAGTCAATGTTAATCATTAAATCTAACCACTTCATTCTTCAGTACAGCTTTTTTTATGAAGTCATTTTAAAAAGTCACTTCCAGTGATTTTTCCATGTGGTTACTGATTGGTGCCTACACAAAATCTTGGAAATATTTTCTCCAATAATTTCACACTCGGAGATGAAATCACCTATCACCCAAACAAAGCTTCCCTACTCAAAATCAACTGGCTGTGGACAGAGATTGTCTCAAAGTAAAGTTCAAAGTCTATCAGGAAGATGTTGTCAAATGTCTTCTCTGTGGTTGAGGCTCAGTCAACTGATTGGCAATGCATAACACAACCAGATGTATTCCAACTTCGCTGCTCAAGATGCATCTGCAGTGTCAAATACATTATACCAAAGCTCTTGCAACATGCTGCATACTGGGTGTTGGGACCATACTCAACAAAATACACCTTCACAGATTTGGCCTTCCTTTGGAGGATTTCTACATACCGAGATCAGTATTCTACAGCCAGCTAAGGATGAGAACACAGGATGCATGGTGTTCCAAACTTACAGATAAAGGTATTCCAAAAACCAATCTTGGAATTTGTATGTTGCACTCTGCTGCATAGGATAATAATAAAAATGGAGAGATCTGAAGTGCAATGTCATCAAGCAATCTCAACACTTGAAGAGAAATGAACCAGATTCCTGCAGGTCAGGCAAACACGCCAACCTTACTAACAGTGACTTCACAGTGACACTTGCACTTAGTAAAGATTTGGTTTAATATTACACATGAGCTGACCGATCAAGATGGCAAAAAATATTGATCATCTTGCTGAACTCATTGAAACAATGAGAGAATCCATCACGGACAGAAGGAGAATTGGACACCCTTATAAAAAGTATTTATGATTGGGGATAAAAGATAAAGCAAGTAAACTTGGTGACTTAACCTTAAATATGCTAATGGGTAGTTTTAATGGAAAAGACAGATGAAGCAATTGCACACTGCCTGAATGTACAGCTACATGGATGAATTTACTTCCGCAATAACGCAAATGGATTGCATTGGATCCTTGAACTGCAAAGCAGCCAGCTCAGTTTTTTGATCATGTCCAAAGCCAATGAGCTCCATCCGCAGGGTTTTTAACATTCATAAACTTAGTGTGTGAAACAGAATCTTACCATAGTGGGGTTCCACAGGGATCACTGCTGGGACTGCAACTGTTCACAATACGTATTAGTGACTAGAGGAAGGAAGGGAATGTACTGTAGCCAAATTTGCAGGAGACACAAAAACCTAGGCGGAAATGCAAGTTGTGAGTCGGTACAAAGAGAGTGGGCAAAAAAAGTTGGCAAATGGGTATAATGTGGGAAAATGTGAAAGTGTTCATTTGGAAGGGAGAACAAAAGAACAGAATATTATTTCCATGGAGAATAAACCCGTAGAAAACTGCAACACAAAGGACCTTGAGTGTACTCGTTCATGTAGCACAGAAAGCTAGCACACAGGAGAAAAGCCCTTGATGGGAGTGATGTACAGACTTCCATACAGTAATTAGAATGTGAGGAAGAAAATAAATCAGGGAATAGAAAAGGCATGTATGAAAGGCACTGCTACAATAATGACGGGGGACATCAATATGCAGGTGGACTGGGAAAATCAGGTTGGTAGCAGATTACAAGGAAAGGAATTCATGGAAAGTCAACGAGATTATTTTTTGGAGCAACTTGTGGTAGATCCATACTTGGGAACAGGCAATTCTGGATTCGGTGATGTGAAATGAGGCAGACTTGATTATGGAGCTGAAGGTGAAGGAACCCCCTGGGACAGAAACCATTATACAATAAAGGTCACCCTGCAGTTTGAGAGCGAGAAGCCTGAATCAGATGTAATAGTGTTACAATTGAGTAAAAGTAAATACAAGTACATGAAAGAGGAGCTGGCCAGAGGTTAGTGAAAGGGGAGCCTAGCAGGGAAGATAGGGGACCAGCAATAGTAGGAGTTTCTTGGGGTAATTTGGGAGGCACAGCAGAATTTCATCAGCAGGAATACGAAACACACTACGGGGAGCATGAAGCAGCCATGGCTGACAAGGGAAGTCAGGGACAGCATAAAAGCAAAAGAAAAAGCATACAGTGTGATGAAGATTAATGGGAAGCCAGAGGATTGCGAAGCCTTTAAAACCCAGCAGAGGATAACTGAAATAGTAATAAGTGGGGAGAAGAAGAAATATGAGAGTAAGCTATCTACTAACATAAAAGAAGACTGCAAG